CCCCCCCCCACAACACACACACACACACAAAAACCAACAACCCCAAAACAAAACAAAAACACACAAAAAAAAGGGTAAAGGGTTCAATATCGATTTTAAAACAGATAATGAGTTTTAGGAACTTAACTTCCGTCTCCGATATACAATGATCTAATCTAAGTCAATTTGGGTCAAAAGCTAGGAAACTCTACAAATGCAGCCGGAGCTCAACGGGCGCCCCACGGCTCCCCCCCCCCCCCTGCTGTTTGGGGTTTGAACCACGGCCGTTCGCTCGATCCATAGCTCTGTATCATACCAACAGGGCTAACGGAGCGTCTAAACATTCTATACCCTCATCAATTATTATCCTGTTATATCATTTATTGGGACCAGCGACCCCCCCCACCCCTCCAACTTCCACTAACATAAGACGTATAAAATAGGCGTAGGCCTAGCTGACTGATACATGAAACCGGTATTTGTTCTCTCAATCCCCCCCCCCCCCCAAAAAACACAACAAAAACAACAACACAACAAATAAACAAAACAAAACAACAACAACAAAAAAACCACCAGAAAACTCAAAGAACATGAATCAACAAACAAACGAAAAACCCAACAACCAACCAACAAACAAAAAACAAACAAATAAACAAACATACAAACAAACAAACATCACAGATCCATTTGGCCATAAATAAGCCTGTCGTCAGATAATATCTTCCAGGGTTACGCTCGCGACAAAAAATAATACGACGGTACCGCGGGTCGATTAATTTAATTTGGAAATATTTAATATTAATTTCTCTGGTAGACTATCGATAAATTAAGTGGTTACTTGATGTACCCTGGTCAGCTAAGGTACGTGGGCTTCCCCGCAAAACAAAAACAAGTATCTGGGACTCGGCGAAATAGCCTATAATTCATTTAAATTAATACATTTTAGGCGATGTATACTATCTCTCTACCTTATGTATAGCATAAAAATAAGTAGTTTGGTAAGTTTTACGGCTAGCAAATGTAAGGTCATCATTTGCAATGCTATTTTAGCATCCATAATATCATATTATGTAAATATATAGGCCTATCTATTATAAACATGATGCATATAAGGTATTTAACCTATATAGATCTACATGTAGTTTACAAATTATGCCCCATCATTTTTCCCCACACGTTTATTAAGTTATACAAGAGAGAGAGAGAGAGAGAGAGAGAGAGAGAGAGAGAGAGAGAGAGAGAGAGAGAGAGAGAGAGAGAGAGAGAGAGAGAGAGAGAGAAGGGGGGGGGGCGACATAGGGGCTCCATTCATTCATACTTTTCCCCTCTAGGCCTACTCATTCTTCGCGGGCCACTACTTCTTCGTTGGCCGACTTCAAGTAGATCTAGTAGTACTTGGCCCAGTCACAGAAATTAAAAAAGAACGAGGAAAGGGAAAGTTGGGATATAATGTGGTGAACACTATCGCTCTGGCCTTTCGACCCCTTGACCGACCCGACGAGTAGGACAACGACAGAAGAAGCCACACCCACCGTCCGAGCTTTGTCGACGGACAACGAAGTTCACCCATGACATTTGATTGACAGCATTGCCCATTGAACCCAGTCACGCAAATTCCCATATTTGGAGAGAAGGCAGGTAAGGTCCCGTTGTTGATGGGAACCTACAATGGAGAGCAGGGAACACTCGAATTCATCTGTTTTGAAAGTAAACTGTCTTGAGTCTATTTATTTCCACTAAAACTTTGAGCATGTCAGTGGTCAGGTTTAACAAACACTCTTGAAAGAAGAAACAAATTTCACCTCTGAAACGACTGTGTTCCGAATGAAGCTTTCCTGACGTCATTACACATGAGGGCACTTTCAAATTTATACGCGACTATGGGTGAAACAGCTGTGTTATTTATCGCATAAAAGTCATTCAGTTATTCTTATCTGACATCTGATTATTTCTAAAATATAAAAATGTGTCCTTAGTACTGCAAATGAATTAAATACTGAGTTTGAGTTTAACATAAATATCAAAGGTAAATAGAACTATTTCTTGTATCGGACGTCTGCACCTGTTACATCGGCGGAAATCAGTCTGGGAGATAAACTATTTTTTCGTGTCTAACTTTGCCAACGGAGTGTTCCCGACTCCAATAAGTAACGAACTTGAGGATTTTTATGGTGTTGTTTTCGAAATATTGTGAGTTTTGTGCTTATTCTGGTGGTGGACATTCAAGTCTTCTCCTTTTTCGTGGGGCTGTGTGAGGAGGAACGAGAAAACCCGTCAAAATGTCGCAAGATCGGACTGGGCCGATCGTTCACGTCCGGGAAAATAGCGACACAGAGCTTGAGGCCTTGTTCAACATAGCAATGAACCCACAGCTGGCATCAGAGACGAACAAATCAGTCCCGTTACGAATGAGGAACCTTCCTGCTTCCTTTTTTCGCCCTCCCGAACCCCCGAAACAGAATATGCAGCAACAGATGGGGGTAAATGCGAGCAAAGACGGCCATAGTCCAGCAGACGCACCCGTTTTCCACGGGGCAGTGAATTCATCGGTGAACATTGCACACATGAGGGCTCATTCATCACCTGCCAGTTTACAACAAAATCTTAGCGCAGCCCCTCCACCCCCGCCCACATCTCATGTCCGACAGCATAGTTATGACCTGCTGGATGAACAACCTTTGCCAGCCGGATGGGATATGGCAAAAACTCCACAGGGTCAGAGGTATTATCTGAAGTAAGTCAAACTCAAAACTGTGTTGGTACACAGGCTTAGAAACTCTCGTTTAGGAACACACATCATTGATTGAGTCTGAGTGAACGTGTAGTGTAGATTCTAGTCTAGAGATTGCCCTCTCCAGTGGCCAGTGGCTCACAACTCTGATCATGTAGTCTGTAGTACACAGTAATGTTCAATTCCTTCACTTTTGTGAATGAACAAGATGTAGGGATCTAGAATCTAGTAGATCTAGATTCTAGATCTAGATCTACCTCTAATAATAATCGAAGTGTATACAGACCCGGTAAGCTGGAACAAAGTCACGAAGTATACAGACCCGGTAGGGGAACTCTTTTGGTCATGTCAGAAAGTTTCAGCGCCCAGACCCGGTAGTGTGTGTGTGTGTGTGTGTGAGAGAGAGAGAGCAGGGGGAAGTGCTAGCAAAATGTATATGACATGCCCCAGGCCCCAGTTGACAGGAGGGAACGAGAGAAAGATGAGAAATAAGTGGGGAGAAAGAGACAAAGAAAAAGAGAATGCGAGCGATACACAGAGACAGAGGGGAGAGAGAGAGGGTGACTGCTTGATTGAAATTATGATATTGTTGTTTTCTTCAAATTGTGATTCCTCCAACTCCAAAAACGGAGGAAAAACGATCGTTCATCAAAAAGACATCCGGAATCTTCATTTTGATCTAGATCTAGATCTAGGCTAACCTCGAAACTAGATCAATGATTTCTGTCTGTCTAGATCTAGAGGCCATAGATCTAGAAGAACCTAGATCTAGATCTAGGTCTACCCTGAGCCAAGAGGGGGCTGAAATCACAAAAGAGTTCCCCTACCGGGTCTGTATACTTTGTGACTTTGTTCCCGGTTACCGGGTCTGTATACACTCCCAATAAAAATAGACTAGATCTAGATCTAGATCTGGATTCTAGATCTCTAGAATCTAGATCTGTCTAGTCTAGTAATATTAATATTATGATAATATAATTCTAGTTAATAGTATAGCATAGAACATGCCTATACTTTACTTTATCTGTCCAGGTCAATGATTCTTTAAAAAGTTAAAAACCCAAATCAGTGATTTGTTAGACTAATCTATTCAATTCCATGGGCCATGAGTATGAGAAGGAATCAAATGTGTCGCCATTTTCTTTTGTCTGAGAATGGGATGGGCAGCAATTGGCAATTCACTTGAACTGAATCACTTTCATTTACATGAAGCTGCAGCCAGCACCTAGCACACCTTTGTGATTGGCCCAAATATAGATGACATATTTCCACTATTTATTTTTGTCGTTTTTCGGCGCTTTCCTCGCCTGGTGACTAGATCTAGATCTCACTGGTGGGACTGCTTTGTCGCTTAGCGCGCAAGGGGCTATGTGGCTAGATTTCATCATTGACCGCTTGGGCTGTGTGTGTGTGCAAATTTAAGAAGATAAATTTATGGCAGGAGAATTGCTGAGATTGTAAAAGACAACACAAATTGTTATTAATACCAAAGAAAACATGGCTGGATCTAGTCAACATACTGGCAAGGGAAACCCAAGAGTCTTGGGCTTGGGGGAAACCCCGGAAGACAACAAAAATAGATGGCGGAAATACGTCATCTGGGCCTATTTGGGCCTATCACAGAGAATAGGTGCTCGCTGTAGCTTCATGTCTTTCCTTCTAGTAGTTTGGCTGTGCCTTTGTTAACATGGTCTGCTGGTGAAGGTGTCTTTTCTATTCAACTACTTGTTTCTAGTTTTGGGTCTAGATCTTGGTCTTAGTGCAGCTTAAAAGTTCCAGAGCTCTACTCTAGTATCTAGATCTAGCGACGGGTTTCCTCCATTTAGCCCCTTTGCTACCTACGTCATGAAATTGCATATTTTTTTACGCTATGCCGTACCATCTACGTCACGGAAGTTTGCAAAATTTGCCGCTCCTGGTTGCCTGTATGACGTTACAATGGTACGTCACGCTAATAACCAGGCTCTAATTCTTCTGGACGGAGTTTTAGCCTCAACAGCTACGTAGATTTGTATTCGGAAATAAGGGAAGCGCATCGGTACCAAATTCGCTAGTATTACTTTACTGAGCACTAGGCTTGCAAGCAATCGATAAACACAGATCTAGACTTGCGGACGGCTGTATGCTCTTGTAAAACGTAAACATTGAAATTACTTTAAATAGATCAAATAAATGCACTTTTAAAAATAGATTTGCAGGTTATTCGAAATGATGAGTGAGATGGGAGGAAATAAAATAAGAAAAGTGAGAAAAGTGACAATCGAAGACTCGGGTGTCTGAAATTAGTTGTCTTGTCATGAGTGCACAAGATCTAGGTCTAGACACCTAGACCGCTTGTCCTAAAACTGAGACTTTAGGCTGCTGTCTTGGGAAACAAGCTCAGCTGAAAATCAGTGCTGACAGTAGCAAGGTATACCCCTTGGCAACGAAAGGGGAAAAAAACTGCTATTTATTGACTGAGGGAGAATTTCGAAACGAGCGACCAATATGAAATAGAGTAGAAGAGGGTTAGAGGGTAAGGATTGGGGTAAGACTAACGGTAAGGGTAGAGGTTTGGTCAGGGTTAGGGTTAGATTAGGTCTTTTAAACTTTATTGCTTTTGTTGGGGTGGTCACTCGTTACGGAAGCCCTTCAGACTGAAAGCTGTACACAGTAAAATTTTAAAAACTTTCACGCCCACATGTCGACGCACTGCTTTTGAGGGCAATTTTGCTGTGTTTTTTTGCTGCGAAACACGTGGCCTACTTAAATCATTTCAAATCAATTGTTTTCGTGAAAATGAAATATCAAATCTTTTCCAAAACATCAAATTATGGTGAACAAGTAGAGGGAGGCACCCCCTGAAACCCCCAGATGGTTTTTTCCCCTCTCTAACCTTTTGGCTCAACATCTTTCATGCCCTTTAAAGAAAACATTTCTCTGTGTATTTTGCTTAAGAAAAAAAAAGGGTTAGAGCTAATTACAGGCATAAAAAATGTACATTTTTTCAGTTTCCACAGACTCTCAAGCTAAGAAAATAACTCAACTTTGGCTGCCATTTTCTCACAAATTTTTCCTCTGAAACCGGGCAACCCCCACCTCTTTTATTTTAATCACAAATATCTTGAATTGTATCCAAATTTAAAAACAAAAAATTTTCATCAGAAGCGAGGCAAACGGACAGGCTTTTACCAATAACTAACTCCATATGCCCCAAAATTGACGAGCGCCTGATTCCGCCGCGTCATGACACATGAATATGTGCTTTACAATCGTAATTTTTAAAAAATTACCCCAGCTGACGGTACAACATTCTGAAACCTCAACTTCGTGGGAAATATACAGTGCAATCTGCCATTTTATAGGCGCTAAAACTCTAAACATACTGACAAGAGAAATCTTCATGTTTAATCCGATGTCCAGAGGGTACTTTTATTTTCACTAACAGATTTCAGATAACGTCCCGAAAAGAATCAAGATAGTACAAGCAAGAACTTTTTTTTACTCCCATCAGCGTCAGAGCAGCTTTCAAAAGGCTGCCATGCCCCCTCATTTTAATTAGTGCCAAAAATTCTACTTAGATTCTCTTAAATGTTTTTTCTCGAACGAGGATGTTTTTTAAATATATTGACAGTACCCCAAGTGTTCAAGATGTGCTCAACTGATGTCAGTTTAGAAACACACTGAATTAGTATGTACAGTAATACAATGGAACTCTGATTTGAAGAAATCGGCTGGCCTGACGTTCAATTACGTTGAATCTGAGTGATCGTTCTATCAAATATAGTAATGTATTAAAGGGAAGCAAGAAGCGGCAAGTGGTACCCTGAAATGCCTTTTTTTCCCCGTTTTCAACTCTTTTCAATCAAAAGTAGGTTGCAAATGAGAGGCATTTTCGTTATTTGATGCCATACCGAAGCAATGCTGGGAAATTCCAGGATAATACACTGTATGAACTGTGCAAAAGGGCTGATTTGTTCAAATGCACGCCTGCGTCACCTATCATCTATGACATATTGTTTGCCAAACAGGTTGCGTTGCTGTGTAGAGCCTATGACAAAGTTTGATTCTGCAAACTAGCATGCAATTCTTACGTAGATATCTATGTCAAGACTGGCGTGTATATCATTGTAGTATAGTTCAGTAGACGGGGGGGGGGGGGATGACTGCAACATGTTTGTTTGTATCTCCACTGACATTCTCTCCTCCCAGACACTTGCACAGTCCTTTTGTTGAATTTGAGTTTGTTGAATCAGAGTTTTACTGTAAAAAAAAGCCTAAGCCTAGAAATATTTTTTTTTTTTACGCTAGAAATATAAAAAAACATAACCCAGGACATGGCATTCCAGTCAAATTGGGGAAGGATGGCAGCTTCCTAGTGTCTTGTCTCCCTGCCTAGGGAAATGGAGTGATTTTCTCACCACCTGCTGGATATGGGAAGGGGGGGGGGGACTCTTATAATGTATAGACATGTTACATCTTGGACAGGGGAATTTTAGGGAAGGTAGGGTCTAGAACGCCTGTGCTATCCTAGTCTTTCTAATAATGGCACATGATGTCAATCTTACTTATCCATTGCCACCAGTGCTTGCATGTCAAAGGACCTCTGTTGGACCAATTAAAAATATGGGAAGAACTTTTTTCTCAGCTCGCTGTACGATCTAGAAGGTTTGAGCTGATGGAACCAAACTTGGGAAGTTTTTTTGTAGATAAGAACTAGCAGAGCAGTTTCTCCGTCTTGAACAGGTCAAAACGTTCAGAAGGAAGGAAATTTCTCTTTTCGGTTGAGCAGGTGTCCATTTCTGTATGTTCATTGTGAAATATGAGGAAATTTGAAAAGCAGTGTTTTACCATTTGTTAAAACTATTATGTTACGCAAAAAACTGAAAATGTAAGGGACTGGTACATAAATTTCAGTTTATTAAATATAAATGGTTTTAAGTGAAGGAAAGTAACTCTGAAAAAAAAACCCAAACAGTTAGAGAATATGCCATCCTCTCCTTACTAGACCCCCTAGATTTAAA